TACTAGGTAGTAGGTACGTATCAGATATTAACATATAAGTTAATATTGACTACCTATCAAAGAATAATGTGAATCAATTCGTGGAATATCGTTACACCAATAGCTTAAAATTAATCTGAACTGTATTTCATAAATTGCGCATAGTGTAGAACAAAAATAAAATAAAGCTACAGCTCTGGTGATAAGTTTAGGGTATCTAAGATAAATATTTTTTAAATTACAACAAAATACYTCAAAAAGTTATTTTTTTTGATATCCAATTTCGTTAAATTTGATCTACAAATGTCTGTACAAAATTTGTACTTATAAATGAGATTTTTTTTTTAACGATAATTTACTTTTGTGTTAAATTATCACATAATCTAAGCTAAAAAAATTAATGTTTTATGCATTTTTAACCACAAATAATCTATGAATTTTCTATATGTRCATGGTAAAATGTTCAAAAAATTTCGTCCTCGTGTGAACTAGATACTTGGATACCTTTAGACATTTGAAATTTCRAAAATGTTGTTTTAATTTATTCAATATAGGTCTATATAATTTTTAGAATACTCTGTTTCTCATAAACTGTTTTTATAGCAATTTAAAATATTTTTTATTTAAATTAATATTATTGACATAAATCAAAAATCAAAAGGGGTGTGGGTGGAAGACCCTAATCGTTGTAGACTTATGTTAACGAGTTCTCGGGTTTTTCTAAGAAGTTTTTTTTTAATTTTATTGAAATCGGTTAATGCATTGATATATTTTTTAACGTTTTTGAAATCAAATCTTATTTAGAAATGGAACAAAATGTTTTTTCTCAAGTATTGTAACTGATATTTCATTTAAATCTGAACCAATTAGATTATTTTTATAAGAMAATGTCTTACTTTTTGAACTTGTGATTATTAAAATATAAATACTATATTATAATGTATATTATTATAGTTACCTCACCAGCTGGCTATAGTCACTGCGTTCGCGATCAACGACAATCGGACACTGCCACACGGAGTGTCGAGTGATAGAGTGGCCTAAACGGGTTTTTGATGATAACGGTTACGATGGAAGTACCTTGAACAATCGGTGAAGGTTTCGCCTATTGTAACGAACGCCGATGACGGACATTAGTGCATGAGGCATGACGCAATGTCCACGAGCTATTGGATTATTGGATAACTGTTATCAGAACGACGTTTAAAAGCCACGAGGAATTTTAATCATTAAATATTATGAATTATTCTATAACATTCCTACCTAACGTAGGAATGAAATACGAATTATTGAACCGATAACTACAACGACGA